GAGAACAAGATGACTGAAAAGTCCTAAATTGTATTGACCGACCTTAATCAAAACTCAATGGTTCTTTCAATTCATGAGTCAGAACAAGGAATGCCATCACAATGTCAAAGTGAGAACATAGTTCCTGGGCTAAAAAAAAACTTAGAAATGTATTGACGGGATTAGAAAAGGAATTTCAAATGTGACAAGAGGGCTCAGTAATTTTATTTCTACATTTATTATGAAATTAATAAAGATATACAGTCAAGACACAGTAAGTACATAATAGAATCAAGTATAAGTAGCTTTTACCTGTGAATAACAGCACAGGAAATCAACTATTTTAAATTGCAAAAATCTGAATCATGTCGCAGGCACAGGAAATGCATACATTTATGCCAAATATTCAATTGTTCTGTTTGTTTATTCAGTTAAATAAAATATTGTACCTCAAACATGGAATCCTGAGCAAACAGGAAAGGAGCTCTATTGAAACATTCCACTCGCAGATGTAGAATACTTCAACACACTTTATAGATTATAAATTGTTATTTCAGATAAAATATATACAATTTGACCTATTAAAAATTATATTGATTATACATGTACAAAGCTATGGCACCCTTGTTGAGTGATTAAATCAATGTAGACTACAATAAATATTTCTGAAGATAAAACGTGCTTCAGTATTGTAACAATCACAGTGGAATGGTAATAAATTGTTTTAACAGAATGATCCTTCCATCATCATGTTTCACTTTGTGTGGCTGTTGTGAGCCTTTCATATACTATAATTTTAGTGATCATTGCTAACCTCTGTCATCTAATGTAAACTCTTGTTCCAATAATGGAACCACTGACATTTGTGAATATATTTTATAAACTATCGGTATATGCAACATTTAAACTGTATTTTTAGAAAATTTTGTGTCCGATTATCATCAAAGCCTGTACCATGGATCAATCATCAATATGTGCGTGATAGTCACATAGCCCAAGAATGCCCCTTGTCTGCCTTGTGCTCGGCTGGGGTGGCCTGTACGAGAGTATACTGGTGCCTGCAGGACTATCACCAGTGAATGTTTTGAACATGACTGGGGAAGATGAGATAAATGGTCCTCTTCAGAACATAAGAACATAACATAAGAACTAGGAGCAGGAGTAGGCCATCCGGCCCCTCGAGCCTGTCCCGGCATTTAATAAGATCATGGCTGATCTTTTTGAGACTCAGCTCCACTTACCCGCCCACTCACCATAACCCTTAATTCCTTTACTGTTCAAAAATTTATCTAGCCTTGCCTTAAACACATTCAGCAAGCTGGCTTCAACCGCTTCACTGGGCAGGGAATTCCACAGATTCACAACCCTTTGGGTGAAGAAGTTCTTCCTGACCTCAGTCCTACATCTGCTTCCCTTTATTTTGAGGCTATGCCCCCTAGTCCTAGTTTCACCTGCTAGCGGAAACAACCTCCCTGCCTCCACCTTATCTATTCCCTTCATAATCTTATATGTTTCTATAAGATCTCCCCTCATTCTTCTGAATTCCAATGAATATAATCCCAGTCTACTCAGTGTCTCCTCATAATCCAAATCTCTCAACTCTGGAATCAACTGAGTGAATCTCCTCTGCACCCCCTCCAGTGCTAGTATATCTCTTCTCAAGTAAGGAGACCAAAACTGCACACAATACTCCAGGTGTGGCCTCATCAGGACCCTATACAGCTGCAGCATAGCCTCCCTGTTTTTAAACTCCATCCCTCGGGCAATGGCAGACAAAATTCCATTTGCCTTTTTAATCACCTGCTGCACCTGCAATCCTACTTTTAGCGATTCATGCACAAGGACACTCAAGTCCCTCTGCACAGCAGCGTGCTGCAATTTTTTACCATTTAAAACATAGTCCATTTTGCTGTTATTCCTACCAAAATGGATGACCTCACACTTATCAACATTGTACTCCATCTGCCAGACCTTTGCCAATTCACTTAGACTATCTATATCCCTCTGTAGGCTTTCAGTGTCTTCTGCACACTTTGCTCTACCACTCATCTTAGTGTCATCTGCAAATTTTGACACACCACACTTAGTCCCCAACTCCAAATCATCTATGTGAATTGTAAACAATTGAGGTCCCAACACTGATCCTGAGGCACACCACTAGCCATTGACCGCCAACCAGAAAAACACCGATTTACACCTACTGTTTGCTTTCTACTGGTCAACCAATCCTCTGTCCATGCCAATACATTACCTGTAATACCGTACAACTTTATCTTATGTAGCAGCCTTTGGTGTGGCACCTTGTCAAATGCCTTCTGGAAATCCAGATACACCACATCCACAGGTTCCCCATTGTCCACCATGCAAGTAATGTCCTCAAAGAATTCCACCACTTTAGTTAAACATGACCTACCCTTCATGAACCCATGCTGGGTGTTCCCAATGGGACAATTTGTATCCAGACGTCTTGCTATTTCTTCCTTAATGATAGATTAAAGCATTTTCCCCACTACCGAAGTTAAGCTAACTGGCCTATAGTTACTTACTTTTTATCTACTTCATTTTTTAAACAGTGGCGTCACATTGGCTGTTTTCCAATCTGCAGCAACCAGCCCAGAGTCCAGTGAATTTTGGTAAATAATTACTAGTGCATTTGCTATTTCCCCCATCACCTCTTTTAGTACCCTGGGATGCATTTCATCAGGGCCAGGAGACTTGTCTACCTTTAGCCCCATTAGCTTGCCCAGCACTGCCTCCTTTGTGATAATGATAGTTTCTAGGTTCTTACCTGCTATAACCTTCTTGCCATTAGTTTTCGGCATGTTATTTGTGTCTTCCACTGTGAAGACCGACACGAAATAACTGTTTAATGTCTCGGCTATTTCTTCATTCCCAGTTATTAAATTGGCCTTCTCATCCTCTAAAGGACCAATGTTTACCTTTGCCACTCTTTTACAATTTACATATTTATAGAAACTTTTGCTGCCTGTTTTTATATTCTGAGCTAGTTTACTCTCATAATCTAACTTACTTTTCTTCATAACTTTTTTTGTGGCTTTCTGTTGGCCTTTAAAGATTTCCCAGTCTACTAGTTTCCCACTGTTCTTTCCTTTTGTGTATGTGTTTTTTTTCAATCTGATACTTTCCTTTATTTCCTTAGACATCCATGGCTGGCTCTCTCTTTTCCTACAACTCTTCCTTATCACTGGAAATATACTTCTGCTGAGCACTGTGAAAAATTGTTTTGAAAGTCCTCCACTGTTCCTCAATTGACCCACCATAATGTTTTACATGTGCATTATTCTGTATGCAGTAGACTAAAGTTTGCCCTGCATTGTTCTTTTTAACAAATACTTCAAACCATGTCTCTTCAGAGTACTAAGTTCCGATAAAGGTTTCTGGAGGAAATCGACTGAACCCAATGTGAAACAACTCAGAGCAGTTAAGGCTGGAAGTTACAGTTAGTGAGAATAGTGAACAGACATCTAACATATTTGGTAACAGTCCATAGTTGCTTACTTAAAATTAATTAATAAGTGTCACAATTAAAGCGGTGGAGGACTGTCATATCAGTTCCTCGACTAGTTTCATCAACATTCAGTAAAAGTAGTGTTTTGCATGTGCTCAATAATTTTGGGAGATTCTGCTTAATGTATGTGCCAATGATTTTCGTACCAGTTGACAAGGCACAATGTTGAAATTTATAACTATTATCCAAACAAGAGATATAATTATTCTTTACAAGACCAAATGAAGTTGCAAATGATGTTGATAAAAGAGGGAACTAGACTGATATATAGCAGATGAATTTCATGTCAGTGAATATAAAATGACATGTTTTAATAAAAAGATTATAGCAGTAGCTATACTTGAAATGTAAGTAAATTTGGTGTTGTTGAACAGTAGCGGGATTTGATCCAGCAAGTTTAAATAACATTAAAGTCAGCACGTCGAGTTTATTTTAAAAAAGGAAGTCTAATAGAACTCTATGTTTTATTCAAGGGATACAAAAATCCATGAGGTACTGATTTGCATAGAAAATATTACAAAGATCTCAGTATGAGCTCTGCACACAGTTTTGAACTCCACACAATAGGGAGGTTATTTTAGGGAGGAGACAACAACAAGTTGCTGCTGGATATGAAGAAATGTAAATATGAAGATAACATGAAGCATTTTATTTTCTTCATGAGGCCATTTATTAAGGGGCAACATGGTAGAAGTGTTTAGAATCATGAAAGGGTGGAACAGAAAGGATAGCAGCAAAGTGTGCTACAGTAGTCGGGCAGTCTGGAATAAAAGAAGCAAATTTGAATGTAAGAGATTTTAAACATTGAGCATGAGAAAATTCTTTTTATAGCTAACTTGGACGCTGTGGAATTCACTTCCAGTGTTAGTGTTTGTGACAGAAGAAAATTCAAACTATGTTGATCTAGACAGGAGTTGCATGGGAACACTGTCACCTCCAAATTCCCTAATGCGCTACCCTAACTTGGACATATATCACTACATTGATGCTGGTTAACATTTTGGAAGTCCCTCATTAACAGCAAACCACATAAACTGTAGCTGTTGATGAAGTCCCAGCAATACTCTGTCAAGAGCAAAGAGCATGACCCACAAATTCCAGTCTTATCAGCAATGCTGACATCCCAAGAAATGTAAGAAAAGCATCCAAAATATATAGGATAGATGTATGAAGGAAAAGATTATAAAGTGAAATGGGAGCAGGTCATTTAAATTTGATTTGGATCATCTTCTCAAATGGAACGAAAATGCCAATAGAACTGGCTGATTTGTTTGTGTAACTTCTCTGTGTTTCTAAGTATATCAGAAACTATTTATTTATCAGGTCATTACACAGGCAATCTCTTCATTTTTAAAATCTTTTGTCAATCTTCTCTAACAAACACAGGAAGGTTTGCCTTATTTTGGGAATAAGGCAACACATTTAAAGTCTCACTACAAATAGCCAACAATCAGAATCTTCCTGCCCATTGATCCTCATTTTGTTACATTATTTACACAAAGTCTAGCCTTAGTATTTCACCTTTCTTGTCGGACTTTGACTGTAATGCTGGTGTAAGCACTGGTAGATTTAAATCTGTTGGTTTCTGAGGTGCCCTGAGCTGAATGCAGTCCCTTTTGAATATGTTCCTGGTGAGAGAAGCTTGTGTCCTCTCCTTGGACTGACGCAGACTCTTGAATATCAATGTCTGCTGGCGAGAAGATGGTAAAAGGGCATGTCTCCCACTGTTGACCAAAAAGGGTGATGACACATTTGTTCCATGACGTGGTGTTCCAACCCAATTAATTTTTTGACTGAGTTTATCTTTGAAAATACTTTGTTTGAGTTTTGGCAATAGGGATAGCTGAGGTGGGTCAATTATTGTAAAATTGCGTCCATCTTTCTCCGGATACCTCCAATTTGCTGTTGCGGATTGGTCTTCCATAGCTTGGAGAAGATCTTTAAATCTGGTTTCATGCTGGGCTGCAGGGCGTCTGTTGTGTCCTTTGCTCTCTAGCAAAGACCTGGGTGTTTTTTTGTCAAGACTGTCCATTGTTTGTTTGAAATTCCCTTCAAACTCCTGTTGATTTATTGCTTGCAAATAACTACCCTGCTTTTGATTCTGAAGGTCTTGTTTTATAGCTATTCCACAGGTTTCTTCTGATTTGCCTTGAAACTCAGGACTTGCTTGATCAGATATCCCTTTAGATGAAGACTTGGGAGGCCCAAGGTACACTAGTTCCCGATTGGCAAAATTAGAAACTGCAAGCGATAGAAAATGTTTAATACTTTTTGAGTTGTTAACTAGAACTTAATGGAAAATAATTTTCATCTTGACAACGCTTGTGTCAAGACCTCAGAAAGTGAACTAAAGGTCAGTTCATTGTGAAAGGTGTTCCTACATTGCTGAGAGTTAGGTCTAGATGGACAGCCAAACCATTTCTTCCAAAAATGTGGAAAAGCTCTGAGCACTGGAAGTTGCGCCCTTGCATACATCATGACCAATTTTTGCAGGGGCATGGTTGTGGTCATCCCAGGCATCGTGCATGTGTATTTCCTGGAGACAAATAGCCATTCCAATGGCCACATGTACCCATTTGAATCAAGTTTTCACATCCTCACTGTGTGGAATCCAAGGTGAGCAGTCCAGACTAGGTCACAGCAAGTCTATCTCAATGAATTTAGTTTTGATAGCCAGGGTACACATCGGGAGAGAACAGGTAGACATGGCCCCAGCATACTTTGGGGTGAATATCAGATGCCATTGGTGGTGGTAGGGGTGATGGTGGTGGTGGAGGTGGGTCTTGGAGGGGAGAGTTGAGTGGGGTCAGGTATTCTTTCGGATTACAGATTATAATTTAGCAAATGGCCAAAAGTGCTTAAATCCATTGCAACTGTCAAAGTTGTTAAGGAACTCTCAAACTGGGAAAATAACTGTCAAAATTGTCAAAGCTACCAATTGACTGCCAACACTGTCAAAGCTATCAAACAATTCAGAATACGAATGTTTCTATAAGATATCAGTTGAAGAAATGTCTAGTATTGCAGGGATAGACAAACTAAAACAGGTGGGGCACATGGGTTGGCATAAATTGGCACTAAGATAATTCATAAATAATCAAGTCAGATTATACTTCTGCAATATTCAACCAATTCAATTTAATTAAATGGAACAAACACCTCAAATTCAAATGTCGTTAGAAGTTCCATTTCTATATGACATAAAAAAAATGCTCATCATAAGGTTCCAGTTATACCTTCTGGGAAGCAGTGGTCGTGCTTTTCTAGAGAAATTGCAATCTCTTCTTCTTTAATAACCTCTTTCATTGCAGGGATGTATGTGTGCTGCTGCTCGGTTGTCGCGGACTCTCTATCATTCTCCTCATGTGCCTGCTCAACAGTTTGCTTATTGCCATTCAACGCTGATGAAAGATTTTGATCTGGACTTCTCACGGCTGACTGTTTGCTTTGCTTTGGCATTGCATTTTCTCTCTATGAATGAAAAAAGGAATCGTGTAACATTTGTACAAAACAGCTTGCTTTGCCTTGCTTCTAGTATTAGATTACTGCAAGGGAGGTTCATCCCCTCCCAGACATTTTAGCCAATAGGGGGAGCAGACCATGTTCAGCTGTCGAATTCAGCTGCTTGCTTTTAAAAATGAGTTTTTGTTCCCTAATAGGCAGACAGAGACTCATGAGAAACCCCACTCACTCTCTATTGGAGCTATGTAGACAGTCTGTTAATGAAATGTAAATGAGGCCCGATCATCAAAATGATACAAGTCTTAGACTAATGCCTTGGGGCCTCTGCCCTCTTGAAAACTGACCCTCACCCAGTGGGAAAAACCAATTAAAAAAAACACTGAGACAACAAAGCGTAGAGCTGGATGAACACAGCAGG